AAAATTTAAGACCTTGTTTCCTACTTACTCTGTTCTTTTTCTGTATCTCATATTCTTGTTAGTATGATTTGGGAATTTTTTAATCTTTAATTTTTTATTTTTTTTTTAACTTTTGTTTGAATAGGAGTCTAAGAGAGGGATAGTAATTCTGAGGGTCTCATTTGACATCCCAGATCAGTATACCTTTACAGAATCAGAATCTTAGCGTTGGAAGGAACTTTAAAAGTCTAGTCTATTACTGTAAGAACATAACAGGCGAGTATTGACCCTTTACTTGCAATATTCTAGATTATATGGAAAACAGCTTAACAGCTTAAAACATGTTCCGTTCTTTTTTCTGAGTTTGATTACTAAACAATTCTTTTCAATGGTAACGGAAATCAGTGTTCTTCTGACATCTATCTAGTCGTTGGTATCAGAGGATTCTTCATGCGCAGAGAACAGAAAATTGGTTAACTAAAAAGGGAAATTTAATCAGTTCAATGAAGTCCTAGAGTAGATCAAATTGCAGCTTAGCCCTTTTCTTTATCTCTTTCCTCCATTTTCCTCTGTGTGTTGGCACCTTCAGGCTGGCTTCTCGGCAGGATGGCTGCCACAGCTGGAAGCTTCCCATTTTCAAACGACCATTTCTGTAAAAAAGAGAGCACTTGGGTTTCTTAGAAATCTGATTGAAAGACTCATTGTTTCTTGTCGCTCTAATTGGGTTTGCTATACCCAGAAGGATGGGATATATTTGTTTGGTTTTGCCCAGGTAGGGCTCACCCCGGAGCTGGTGAGTGGGGAGAGGAAAACGTTGCAGGACGTAAGTTAGCACTGATACTAATTTTTCCAGCTGCCACTAGAGTCTGTACGCTCCCTGCCCCTTAGTCATTTAGTAGCAGTCTTGATTATCAGATTGACTGTCGCAGTGCTTGTATTCAGGTCACCCTTATTTTACTTAATAACGGCCTCAAAGCCATTCACATAATTTTTATTACAGTATGTTGTTATAGTTGTTCTATTTTATTATTAGTTATTGCTGTTAATCTCTTACTATGCCTAGTTTGTAAATTAAACTTTTATTATAGGTATGTATGCATAGGAAAAAACAATATATACAGAGTTCAGTACTATCCACGGTTTCAGGCATCCACTAGGGGTCTTGGAACATACTCCCATGGATAAGTGGGGGCTATTGTACTCAATATTGTTGAAATGTCAATTTTCTTAAAATTCTTATTTAGACTTAAAGCAATCACAATAAAAATGATTTTTTTTGTATAAATGATAGGCTGACTCTAACATCATATGAAAATGTGCAATACTCAGAATAATTTTTTTAAAAAGAACAATGTTGAAGGATTTGTATTACCTGATTTTAAGATTTACTGTAAAGCTGTAGTAATGAGGACAGTATGGTTTTAGCATAAAGATAGACATAGAGATCAGTGGAAAAGAATAGAAATAAAACTGCACATACATGGTTAATTGACTTTCAACAAAGGTGCTTAGGTAATTCAGTGGGTAAAAGGATAGTCTTTCCAATAAATTGTGCTGGATTAACTATGTATTCATGTAGAAAAGTAATGAACTTTGACTCTTCAACATTGTACACAAAAATTAACTTGAAATGGATCATAGATTTAAACATAAAAGCCAAAAGTATAAAACTTCCAGTAAAAAGCATTCAAGAAAATCTTGGTGACCTTGACTTGAGGTAAGCAAAGAAATTTTAGAATACAGATAGCATAAACCATAAAAGAAAAAAGATGGGTAAATTGTACTTAATGAAAATTAAAAATTCCTGCTCTCCAAAAGACATTAAGAAAATAAAAAGGCAAGCCACAAGACTTGGAGGAAATATTTGTGATAGTATGTATGTAAGGATGTATATCTAATATATATAAACAATTTATATACCAAAGAAGGTATATGAATAGCCAGTAAAGCACGTCAGTCATCAGGGAAATTAAAATTCAAACCACAGTTTAATATCCTCTAAACCCCCTTAGAATGACTAAAATTAAAAGACAGACAATACCAATATTGACAAGGAAGGTAGAGCAACTAGAACTCTCAGACATTGCTGCTGGAAGTATAAAGTGGTGCACCCTGGAGAGAAGTATGTCCGCCTCTCATGAGGTTAAACATAAACTTACCATATGGCTCAGGGATTCTCCTGAATTTTTCCATGATGCTCACAGTGAGATCAGATTGCAGTTTTGTTTTTCTTACTAAGTTAGATTTTTGCCTCAGTGACATGCAGATTCATAAATTGAACCTTAAGCTCTACTTTCCTATGTTCTATGTAAGTTTATGTAGGAATTAATCATCCTTAAAATTAAAGTAGAATTTATTCTATGAAACTTCCAGAGTATGGTACTTTTATAGTAGGTAGCTTTTGAGAACTTTGTTTCCTGTTTCTTGGTCTGTTTGTTTAGCTCTTCTGTTTCTTCTTTCATACGTCAAAATAATATATGTATATTTTCTTAGAAAATCATCATTTCCACTCATTTTTTCAAATTTATTGGGATGCTATAACTAACATAGGCTTTTTATAGCTTTCTGAATTTCCTCTGCATCTTTTGTTAATGCAGTCTCATTTCTTATTTTGTATTTGAGTATTCCCTTGACTAGTTTTTTAAAATTGGTTAGTGGTAGATTCATTGTATAATTATTTTCATGGAATTATCTTTTGAATTTATTATTTGACAGTTTTCTTTATTAATTTCTAGTTCATTAATTTTTATTTTTGGCTTTTCTGATTTTCTACCTTTTTGGTCAAGTTTATCATTTTTTTCTTCTTAGAATGTTGTGAATTCAGTTATTTTCATTTGTTCTTATTAAATACTGTAAAATATGTAAGTTATGAGTTTTTCTCTGAGAACTGCTTTTTGCTTTATGTTCTCGTAAAAATTCTTTTGACTGTTTCATATATTTTGCAATGTCATGTTTTACTTCTTCTTTGACCCAAGGGTAGTTTTAGACCTTTTAATTGTTTTCAGTTGAAATCTTGAATCACCTAGGTAAACAGTCACAGTGATAGCCAGTTAATTCCAGTTTTGTCTGTCTCTGCTGTGGGCTCTTGTTGAGCAGTTAACCAGAGTTGGTACGGAATAGGCTGGTCAGGCCTTTTTCCATTTCCGAGTAAGTCAGCCAGCACCTTAGAGGAACTTGCACTTACAAGACAATAGAAATAACTAGAGAACTGAGGAGCATAACTACCTATAAACATTGAAATGAGAATAAAAACAGGTACTCTTAAGGATTTAAAATAAACATGATAAATATTTTGTATAAAATACTAAAATAATAAGATACATATTTAAGTGATTATGCAAGACATGGGGCTATGTAGGTGTTTCAATGGCTTGATAAAGTTTTTGTTACCTTAAAAAAGCTGAGGAAAAAGAAAAGTAAAAGGAAAGTATGTCTGTAATAACCCAGAACAAACATTTTAGTTAATATCAACATGAAAAGAACTGAGTGAGGAGAACACCAAAGAATTTATCAGAGTGTGCTAGAGTACTTGTTAGTGGGAAGATATACATATCGATAAATTGACGAAATTATTAGGAGCACAGGAACAAGAAAATGTGATGTAAGTTAAGGACAACCATTATAAGAACAAGTTTGTATAGTTTTAAATCATCAGAAGAAAACACTATTTATCCAGTAGAGAAAGGAATGGAAGAATGAAGGAAAGAAAAGAAAGAAAAGTAATGTTGAATGCTAACTCCTAATATATCACCAAGATAGCTTGTTGGTAAGACAAAGCTGAGTTTAATGCTTGCTGTGGTAAGGTAGACCACTACCTCCCCAGAGCTTTAGTAGCCTGTCAGACGGGGAAGGAAAAATTGAGATATTTATTGAGATTTAAAATCTGGTGTAAGATGGGCTTTTCAGTTGGAGGATGTTTGGTTATGATTGGATAAGGATCATGATATAATAGTTTAGGATTTTTAAGCAGAGAATTTGGAGGCAAAGAGTTCTGAGTTTTGGGGTCTAAGACATCATTTGATGCTTTCTGTTGAAGACTTGATGAGTCTTTGAGGAAGTTCCTAAAATGAACAATAAAATTATCTTGCAATTTTTATCATGCTGAGCAAGAGACTCCTAGAACAATCAACTCTTGATGAAGACAGTCTAATAGTCTAGTCATGTTAATGTAGATAGTAAGCTGTGTGGGTGATTTTCATTCTCAGAAGAGAGAAATAATAATTGCATCCCTGGGGTTGAGGAGGACCCACTTGTTTCCTGTTATTTATTCTTTTACTACATTACTAGGTTTGTTTGCTATTATTTTATGCAGGATTTTTACAGTTACATCATTAGTAAGATTGGCCTATTTTCTTGTTATGTGTTGACAGTATCTAGTTTTGGTATCAGCTAACTTTGAGGAATTAGTTCCTTCCTCACTGAAACATTTCCTATAAGATCGAGATTTTCTCTGTCTTCAAGATGGTAGATCTTATTGTTTTGATTTTCTCTACTCATCTTTTGTTTTATGGCTTCCTTTTTCAGTACGATCAACCTGCTTTTTGATTACTGAGTATTATTAAAGTCTGTTCCATATGGTTATCTAGCCTAGTTGTACTTTTATTATTATTTTTAAATATACTTTTTGCCCTTTCTATGAATTTGCACTAGAAAAGCATGGTTGTCTTATGACAGCTTGTTGTCTTCAACCAGCTTTCCCATTTCTTAAATTAATCCTTTTTTTTAAACCTATCTCAGTTAAGTACATAGATATTTCATATTCTGATGAGGAAGAAAATTAAGGAGGGTTATAATTTTAGTCTTCCTTTGTCTTCCTATTAGTTGTCAATGTGTCATCTTTATGAAAATATATTAAACAATGTATATTATCTATTCTTATGGAAAAGTAAACCATGTTGGATATTCTTTTTAGTTCTCATATTCCTACTTTGATTTACTTTTTATATATAAACATATAAGGTCATAACAGACCTTATATGAAGGGCATCTTTTTAATGACAATTTTTCCCCTCCAAATATAGGAAGTTCACAAATGGGTGCTACCATAGTAGATGCTTTGGATACCCTTTATATCATGGGACTTCATGATGAATTCCGAGATGGGCAAAAATGGATTAAAGACAACCTTGATTTCAGTGTGGTGAGTATACAACTGATCATTTCTTTGACTGAGTATGAAAAGACACAGTGTCTAACCAGAATAGATGTGCGCATTATACCAGTAGTTTAAGGAATTCCCAAATTCCATTTCTTCTTTTAGGATTATTAGTTGTTACTTAATATTTGCATAAAATGCACACACTTTCTCACTATCTTCCTTTTACTTTCCTTGCCCTTATCATTTGAAGCAATGTGTTAAGATAATAGTTAGGGGGAAAAACACATTGAACTAGAAATATCAGTAAAGCATAAACTATTTTATAAATAATAAGTGCTTTATTATTTTTATTTTATTTTATTATTTAAAGATTTAGTGATTTGGCAGAGCTTTGATGAGCCTTCCTAATCAGGCCTGTGCCTGTCTTTCCAGCACTTTGGCACAGTTGTTAAGTGGCGCTGCTTAGGTTTGAAGCCCAGCACAGCTACATTCTAGCTGTGTGCCTTGGGGAAGTTCCTTATTCTTTCTCAACCTGTCATGAAATTGCTATCCCATTGCAATATTGTGAGGATCATTTGAGGTAATCTGGTACATATAAAGAGCTCAGTAAACGGTAGCAATTATTTTCATTGTTACCAGTCTTCACCTAGAAGATGTGTGGACTCTTTTGCCATGTTCATATCATCTTTCATGATATTTGTGCTTTCTGTTCCCCTGACTGCAGTCAGAAGCCACTTCTCTCCGTGTTTTACTCTTTGGCAGCCTCTGCAGCATTCAAATTGTGATTTAAATCCATAATTACTTCTTCTCTGATGTCTTTCCTGATGCTAACTAGATAACAACTGATTACTTTCTTTTATATTATTCTAACATTTCAGACACATTTCAGATAGACCAATTTTTACTGTCAGGTTTAGGTTTGGCTCTGAGTGACAGAAAACTTAATATAAAAGAGCTTAAACAAGATAGCTATTTATTTCTCTTTCATCAAAATGAAGTGCAGAGAAAAACAGTTGAGGGCAGGTGTGGGTAGCTGCTTGATCACTTGAATGCGTAGGGTCCTTTGTCTTGTTGCTCTGTCACCTTCAGTGTGTAGCCTCAGCCTCATGGTACAGGATGGTTCCCCAGGGTAAGGTGGATAAACCTTCCAGTTGCAGACCAGAGGAAGGGCGACAGGAAAGAGAGGTGACTGTTCTTTAAGAACACTTCTGGGGAGTTGGTTACCCCATTTTTGCTTGTGTGCTATTACTGTTGAGTAGATCTTCATTATGTGGCTCAACCTTTTTGTACAGGGAGGCTGAGTCTTTTTTTCCTTTTTGGCTGTGTAGCACTTAGACGTTTTACTTCCTGTATCTTCAGAAGGCCCTCCCCCAAAGTCATGAATATATTACTATATTTAATTCTAAATGTTTGCTTTTGCATTTAGGTTTTTAATCCATGTGGAATTGATTTTTTTATGTAGAGTGAGATAGGCATTATCAATCCTAGCACATTTATTTCCCCACTATTTATACATGCTACATTAGTCATATTAGTCCATGCTTTTCTATTGGCTTTTTTTTTCTTTATCCCTGCATTATTTTTGTTTGTTTTTAGCTGGGCCAGCCTGCCACCTGTTGGCAGCTCAGCGGCAGCTCAGCTCGGGCTGAGAATCGAACTGGTGACCCTGTTGCTCAGAGCTCACACTCTTGAGTGAGCTCTTAACCAACTGAGCCACTCAACTGGCCCTATCCCTACATTATTTTTAAACTGACTTAACTACAATATTTTTATAAGAAGCCTGATATCTATATTTGAATCTTGATATCCCATCATGTTCTACTAGGAAATTATCTTAATTCTCAGCTCTTTGTTCTTTTAAGCTCTGGAATATTGTTGAAATTTTGATGAAGATTGCATTCAATTTATAAATTAATTTGGAGAGAATTGGCATCTATACAATCTCAAATACTCCTGTTCACTAATGTGGCAGCTTTATTATGCCTAATAATTTGTAGTATATCATTGTATCAGTTGGCTCTATCAGGACTAGAACTATACCGTTTATTTTAATTAGAGGATTTAATGTTTTGAATCGTTAACCAAATAATGGGGAACTGAAAAGGCAAAAACATCGCGATATCATAAGTGGTAGTAACTACAGTAAACAGCTATCACTCCTGGGCGTGTGAGAACAGTGTGAAGAGATTGGGACAGTTAAAATTTAGTAGCCTGGGAGTCTGTTTCTGGTACCTTAGGAGCTCTGAGAAGGGCTCTCAGAGCTGGGACTCAGACCTCTGAGGAGGGGCTACCTAGCCAGTGCTGGTATCACGAAGGGCCACGGTGAAGTTGATTTGGAGAATGTGTATGAGTATGTGTGGCAGGAGAACGAACCTGGAACCACCTGCCATTGCGAGGGTGAAGAGCCATGGCTGGTTTGGTGCTGTCAGAAACTAGAGGTAAATTGGAAGGACTAAGTCCCTTCTCCTTCCTCTAGTCTTGTATTGTCTTAATAAACCTATTTGCCTGGCCTGCGAGGCAGCCAGCTGGCAAATGAGAAATGCATTTGCAGAGTTCCAATTGCAGTGTACCAGAGTAGGGTGCAGAAGGATGGATTTGAACCTGAGAAAAGAGAGCTTAACAATCAGCACAGTTGTATCCCTTTACTTTTACCCCTACTGTGTCATATGTTTTAGCTGTTTGTTATACATATGGTAGTATTTGGATTTTTGTTATTTTTATCGTGCTTGGAGTGTTTTAACTGTTAACTTTGAAGTATTTGCATTTATTATAACATATATTTGGACTTGGGGCTTCCATCTTTTGTTTAACTACCTATATTATTACTATACTTTTCATTTGCATTTATTTTCTGTCTTTATTTTGGATTAAATTGCTTCATTTTTTTCCCTTTACTAGTTTACTTTCCATGTCCATTCATTTTGGGGTTACCCTTAAAATTTTATATGTATTCTTATCAAAGTTTAAAATTTATCAGTTTTATTATCCTCCTTCTGAAGAACATGATCTTAGAACGCTTTAACTTAGCTCATCTCGCTCTTGTCTTATGTATAATTATTGTCTAGTTGGTCCCAACTTGTATTTGAAACTTTCAAATAAAGAAATGAATAGTTTATGGAATGCCTCCTCTGTGACAGACACTGTTCTAGACTCCGTGGTTACAGTGATGAACAAAACAGCCTTATCTCTTTCTTGAGTTTATACTCTAGTTTTGGGAGAAAAACAGTTAACTTAAAAATAAAAAGCCAAACGTGAGAGGCAATAAGTGTTAATATTTGAGTTAGAAAAGAATGGCAGTCCGAGGGCAGAGATTCAGGCAGAAACCCAAATTATGTACTGATTAGGAGGTGAAGCAAGAAGTTTTTAGGAAAAAGGGAAGGGAAATAATGACATGATTTGAAGGAAGGAATTTCTGTTGGTGCTAATAAGTTATTCTCTAGCTATGCACTTGGTGGTGCTAATTCCAAAGAATGTCCTTAATTTTTAGTCCTTACAGTCAGGCTGTTTGCTTTCCTGTCAGCTTTACAAACAGTTGTAAGATAATGTTGCTTTGGCCCAGTCCAGAGGTTATTTTTACCCAGTTCAAACATTCCGAAGGTTTGAGGAGCACGACGTGCAAGGCAGTTTCTCTGGGATGGTGGCTCTAACTCCATTTTGAAATGGCTCCATTTACATCATTTTTCACAAAGAAAATGAATATTCCAAGTTGTGTATAGTATGTTAGTTGATGATAAGTGCTGGGGAGAACAATAAAGAAGAGTAAGTAGGGTTGGAGGAAGTAGTGGTGTGGGGGATCGCTGTTTTGCAGGGGGTGGCTGTTGACGGACTCTTCGTTATGGCGACATTTCTGAGAGGAGACACAAGGGAAACCATAAGGCTCTTTCCTAATAGATAGCATAGCTGAATATAAAATTAGAGGTTGATGGTGATTTTTCTCTTAACTTTTTAAAAGTACAGTTTCATTGTCTTCCTATTTATGTTGTGCTATTGAAAAGTCTGCTACCAGTCTAATTTTTCAAAGATAATCTCTTTTTCCCCTTTTGTTTTAATAGTTTATTTTTTGCTTTGTTTTGTAATTTCATTACCATGTGTCAATTATTCTTTAAAGGACTCTTAATGTTTCATCAGCCTGAGGATTTATGTTTTCATCAATTTTGGAAGATTCTCATTCATTCCTCCTCTGAATGATGCCTAGCTCCCATTCTCTCCCTACTCTCCCTCTAAACTCTGTCTCTTGTAAGGGAATATATGAATTTTACAAATAAAGAATTATAATCAGATGATAACTGCTACTCAGGGAGGTAATGCAGGGGAAGGGATATTAGTGATGAGGGATTATTTCACTGTTTCATATCATGTGATCAGAAAAACTTTCTGATGAGGTGACATTTGTTCAGAGACCTTCAAGTAAAGTACAATGTCAAGATTGACACAGGAATGAATTTGGCAATTCTGGAACAGCAAGTAGACCCATTTGGTAATAATAAAGTGAGCCAAAGGAATACTGGTTGGAGATGACATCAGAGAGGTTGTGGGGAATCTGACTATGTTGGGTCTTATCAGTCATTTTACCCTGAGTATAGCCAGAAGTCGTTGTAAGGATTTGCACAGAGTAGTAGCCTAAGCTGACCTAAGATTTAAAAGGCTCGTTCTAGCCATAGGATGCTGAACACGTAGAGTGTCGGGATGAAGGTAAAGATGAAATCAGGGACACTGGCTAGAAGATTATTGTTCTGGTGATAGAGGCCTTCCTCTTTCCCTTGCTCTCTATGTTTAGTGACTGTCTACTGCATCATGCTCTATGTTGGGAATATATGAAGTTATATAAAGCACTTCACTTTTGAGGATGGTGTGTGATGACAGTTAGTTATTAAGAAATTACACTGAATTGTAAAAATTCTATATTGGAGAAATATATTTTTGTTAGCAAATGATGTGTTCTGCTTTTGAAGGTTGGAAAGACTTCAAGGTAATATATATTCCCTTTTAACTTTTATTAAAACATTAATTATAAATGTTAATTTTATATTGGTCAATTGTGTATATTCTATGGATTCTTTCTTTCCATGTATTAGAATTTTTCTCAGCAGTATCTGTGTCCATATCTAAATACAAACATACAGACTCTGTGTAGTAAGGTTATTAATATTGCTATATTTATGCCAAATTTCCTTTTGTTTGTTGTTTGCCTTTTAATTTTGTTCATAATTTTTTTTCATATAGGTAATTTGCATTTTGGGGAAATTCATGTCTTTCTATTATCACTTGTTATCAATACTATTTATTTTATGTTTACAAAGTACCTGCTTTCTCAAGGAAGTTTATATATTGTTACATTTTGTACTTTTTTGTTGTGATTTTTTTCTGTATTTTAAATCATTTTGAGATATATAGATATAGATATGAAATGAGTATCCAAATTAATTTTTTAATTAGGAGTCAGTTTTCTCAACATTATTAATGAAATAATCCATCATCCTACCATTATTTTTGGTGCCACGTCTAATGTTTATTAAGTTATATATACTAACAAAAAATTTTAAATTAATGAGGAGAGAAACAAGTAAAAATGGACATTATACTGTAGTGATTAGAACAAAGAAAAGAACCAGCAGAGAGAGTGCTAATTCCAGAATTCAGGAGTAGAGGCTTTCATGGAGAGAATAGTTAACAGTATCAGATAACTAGATAATTTCACAATATGTAAGGTCCATGAAAATGGCCCATTGTTTTTGGCAATTAGGAAGCTGTGGTGATAGTAATGAATGGAGGCGATTCAGTAACATTTTACAAATGGGAGGTGAGATTGCAGTTGCATGAGAAAGACTTAGAATGTGGAAGAACATTCTCTCCAGGGTGTTCGGGAGAAATATGAAGTATTGAAAACATTCTTAAACTGTAAAACCTCATGTATATGTGAATATTTTCCATATGTTTTCACAGAATTCAGAGGTGTCTGTGTTTGAAGTCAACATTCGATTTATTGGAGGCCTCCTCGCAGCATATTACCTTTCAGGAGAGGAGGTGAGCAAAATCAAGTAATACATTGTTTTGGGGGAGGGGTTGTAAATGGAATTTAATAAAATGCAAGGTTTCCCCAACAGCATATCATTTTTCTTAATTGTCTAATGTTGAACTAACGTTAAGGTTTCTGAAAGAACTGGAGGCTTTGGGGTAGGACTGTTCCTTGGGAATAATGATTTTTCCATTTTGAGAATCTCAGTGAAACACAAATTCATCACAGATCCTAGCCTTATCTATACCACGTCTCCTTTGTAGGAGCAGTCCTTCTCTGGAGTTTTGCTGCTGCAATTAATGACATGGTTGAAACGAAGGGGTGGGGGGAATTAATAAGACCAGAATTAAGGAACGAAATAGGAAGAATGAATATGGATCCTCATAAGACCAAAAATTAATTACTAAAACTGTCTGTTTGAGAATCGAATCCAGTTTGTTGCTATAAATGGAAACAAAACAACAACTCTGAATTGTCCTTTCTGGAAGCCTTGGTGTAATCCACACAGACACACTTGAGACCTACAGTGATGGGAAGGTGGATGTGGGAAATTCCTTGTCACTCCTCAGATGGGTAAAGAATGGGGCTGGAGAGGGGGAGAAAGAGAAACTAAAGGAAGGTGGTTGGAAGTCATTTCTATTTCGTTTTCTGAGTAGCTACTTCGCCCATAATATTTAATTGGTTTGTTGGTCTAAGTAAGACCTTTGTAAATTCAAAAGAATTCATTTCTTTTGTTATATGTGTTGTAAAGATGGATTTCTATGTTGTCTTTAGTTTTTATTTTTTGTATTTAACCTTAAAGTAGTCATTTTTAGGATTTCTTTTTATCTTTATGGTTATTAGACTTTGTTCCTTTTTAAAAAGCCTTCCCCATGTCTGTGTTACTACAAAACAAAAATTCCCGTTTTTCTTCTGGACTTCTATAATTTTACGTGCTTATATTTAAGTATTTCATTCATTTTTGTGTGTGAAGAGTGAGATATTAATGTACTTTTTTAGAAGTAATACATTTAAAGACACTGCTATTTAATATATAATGTTAAATAGATACCATTAGTTTGTAATTTTACTGTCAGACTTGATTGTGATTTGTAATACCTCCAACCTATTTTTCTAGCCAGGACACTTCAGTTCACATTTAATAAAATAAAAACAAAGTGTCTTATGCTCTGGCCAAGTATATTTCAAACTTCAGCTCGTATCAGAATCACATAGTGTATTTATTTATTTTTTTTAATGAGGGTTCCGAGCACCACTCACAGGACTGTGTGTGATTCATCTGGTTTAGTGTGGAGACCATTGTTTATGTTGTTTATCAAGACTACTTGTTTAAGGTGCCTTGGGAAATGGTAGTTCTGTACTTTGGGAAACTTTGACCTAGCTTGTTTGAATAAAATCATTGTAAATTAATTGATAGTATTTTTAAAGTGAGGCTTGCTGAGCTATCACTACATAGAGTAAAATTTACCCATTTTAGTTTATACTTATGTGAGTTTTGACAATGAATACAGTCTAGTAACTACCAGCACAATCAAGATACAGAAGAATTTTATTCTAGAAAATACCATTTTACCATTTATGGTCATGCCTCCCCCCTGCTGCCAGGCCCTGGTAACTACTGATCCGTTTTCTGTCTCTTCAGTTAGGAATGCTGGATTCTTTTACGGGGCATAATTCATTTGAGGTTCATCCATATATTTAATAGTTATTCTTTTTTTAATGCTGTATAGTGTTCCATTGTATGGATATAACAGTTTATTTACTAATGGATATGTTTCTAGCTTTGGAGATTATGAATAAAGCTGCTATAAACATTTGCCTATAGATTTCTGTGGGACCATAAATTTTCATTTCTGTTGGGTATCATGCATACCTATTGTAGAGCGGGATTGCTGGATCATATGGTAAGTGTATATTTAACTTTGAAAGAATCTGCCAGACTCTTTTCCAGTAGTTGCCTCCCATCATGACCAATAGTTGGTATTGTGTTTCTTTTTTTTATTTTTATTTTTTTTTTATTAAATTATTTTTTATTATGAAATACACATTTTTTAGAATTAGTTTCAGCTGTACAACACAGTGCAATAGTTATACTTTTTACCCCTCGAAGTGAC